GCCTATATTAAATGTCATGATCATCCATGTCACATACTACAGTCTCTCATGTCCACATGTTTCTACAATTTGGAATCCCCATCCTGCCCAAGTTGGTCTGCCTGTTCACCTCAACTGAGTCTTCAAGACTTGTTTCAAAGACTTTTTTCTCCTAAATCGAATCAAGTGATCCTCTTCATTCCTTTGTAATCATTCTGCATCTTTCTATATTACTGTACTTCACTTTACTCTAATTATCAGTTTATTCCTGATCTAGGCTGTGGGCTTATTAAAGATGCAAACTCTCTCATGTTCATCTCTGAATCTCAAGTATACAGCAAAGGGCCTGGCACAAGACTGGTTAAATAAATCTATATATGGAAAATGAATGAAAGAATAAATGGATGGAGCTGGGTCTGGTGGCACACATTTGTAATCCCAGCAACTTGGGAGGCTGAGACAAGAGGACTGCAAATTAGAGGCCAGTCCCAGCAACTTAGCAAGGCCGTCAGAAATGTAGTAAGCTCCTTTCTCAAAGTAAAAAAATAAAATAGATTGGGGATGTAGCTCATTGGTAAAGTGCCCCTGAGTTAAATCCCCAGTACAAACAAAAATTTTCAAAAATATAGAATAAACGGATGCGTGAGTGAGTGAGTGAAGAATAAAGATATCTGCAATGCATTCATCTCCCCTGCAGGACCCTGTTGTGGTTGCAGATCAAGCACATGAGAGAGGGATGTTGCTTTGCACTTGTCTGACTACCTGACTTGCACAGTCTTGCCTCAAGTGCATCTACACCTATTCCAGGATGTTGTCTATTCCTCCTATCTAAATCAGAATCACCCTTTAAAATTGGTTCCAAGTATCTTCTGCCTTGATCTCAATAGTTCAGCTTTATATTTTTATTTTACTTCAGCTTTCTGAGAAAGAGTCAATTTCCCCAATGATTCTTCCAAATATTCCCTGGAGCAATTTCTGTTGAGAGGAATTATAAAACTCCCATCTTGGTCTCAGAGATCAGTCCTGGAATGAGAAGACAGAAGAAGGAAAAAATATTGTGGGTTTTCTTCATAAATAATGATCATGTGTAATGATCAAACATAGTATTTCATCCTCTAGCTAAAGCTGCCAAAGAGAAGAGGAGGGTAGTTCATCATTCTGGGAATTGAGATTTAAATCATTCCATAGTTCACAGAACATTGAGCTACACCCCCAACCCGAACCATCTAAAAAGAGCAATTTTAAAAGTTATTTTTTTTCTCTCTTTGTGATCCTGGGGAATTTTTTTTAATTTAAAAAATGTACTTTAATCATATTGGAATAAACATCCCTGGGAAGACATGATCTCTTTAAGTAAGGCCAAAAATTAATTTTGATTAGCAAAAGCTAAAGTAAAAGAGATCCGAGTTAATTCCCAGGTTTCAGCACTTTAATAATAAATTAACGAATGAAAAAAGATTGGTAACTCACTTTTTCAGCCAGCTTCTATGTAACCTGGATGCACCTGGGAGCAGCAGGTTAACCTGGAATTGAGCAGAACCCATCCCACTCATCTGCTTCCCAGGCAGCTGCAGCCCATTGCCCTGGGGCTGCCCTGGGGCCCTGCCAAGTGGTTGCTGCTCTGGCCTCCTGCTGGAAAAAGCCCGAAGGATTAAACCCTGGGACACTGGCTTCCTTTTCCTACAATCTTATTTTAGGGGAAAAGTTTTCTCTTTTAATGTTATTCTACTTATTTGGACCCTGGGCCCATTCATATGACAAGTTCATAAAAAGAATCTGATATTAAAAGGAGTTCTGTTCATAACATCATTGATAAAATTATCCTCTTGTATCCAACTGCTTGGCTTCAGCGTTTCAGGTAAGGTTTCATACTTTGCTTACTATTGTTTTGTAGAGAAGTAACAGAATTTGATTAGGATGCTTTTTAGAAACTTTAAAACAGAATTGAAAGATATGCACTCTGAAAGATGTGTTAAGGATTAGGATTTCCAACGTGCAGTGGAGGCACCCCAAATTAAATAACTTGCCCAAGGTCACCATGTGTTATAGTTTTGTACTGAGATTTCTGTACTCCTTAATGTTGTATACAAACTAAAATACCTCTCTCTCTCTCTCTCTCTCTCTCTCCCTCCCTCCCCCTCCCCCTCCCTTCCTCCCTCCCTCTCCCTCCCTCCCTCTCCCTCCCTCCCTCTCCCTCCCTCCCTCTCCCTCTCCCTCCCTCTCCCTCTCCCTCCCTCCCTCCCTCCCTCTCCCTCTCCCTCCCTCCCTCCCTCCCTCTCCCTCCCTCCCTCTCCTCTCCCTCCCTCTCCCTCTCCCTCCCTCCCTCCCTCTCCCTCTCCCTCTCCCTCCTCCCTCCCTCCCTCTCCCTCTCCCTCCCCCTGCCTCCCTCCCCCTCCCTTCCTCCCTCCCTCCCTCCCTCTCCCTCCCTCCCTCCCTCCCTCCCTCTCCCTCCCTCCCTCTCTCTCTCCCTCCCTCTCCCTCCCTCCCTCCCTCTCCCTCTCCCTCCCTCCCTCCCTCCCTCCCTCTCCCTCCCTCCCTCCCTCCCTCCCTCTCCCTCTCTCCCTCCCTCCCTCCCTCCCTCTCCCTCTCCCTTCCTCCCTCCCTCCCTCTCCCTCTCCCTCCCTCCCTCCCTCCCTCCCTCCCTCTCCCTCTCCCTCCCTCCCTCCCTCCCTCCCTCTCCCTCCCTCCCTCCCCCTCCCCCTCCCTCCCCCCCTCCCTCTCCCCCTCCCTCCCTCCCTCCCTCTCCCTCTCCCTTCCTCCCTCTCCCTCTCCCTTCCTCTCCCCCTCTCCCTCCCTCCCTCTCTCTCTCCCTCCCTCTCCCTCTCTCCTTCTCTTTCTCCCTCTCCCTCCCTCTCCCCCCTCTCTCTCCTCTCCCCTCTCCCCTCTCCTCCTCTTCTCTTCTCTTCTCTCTCCCTCCCTCACTCTTCCTCTCCCTCTCCCTCTCTCCTTCTCTCTCTCCCTCTCCCTCCCTCCCCCCAAAAAACTTTCTATTGCACAGTAGTCCCCCCCACTTATTCATGGGGAATGTTCCAAGATTCTCAATGGATGCCTGAAAGTGAATACTACTAAATCCTATATTTAGCATATTTTTTCCTATATAAGCAAACTTATGCCAAAGTTTCATTTATAAATTAAATACAGGAGATTAAAATAACAACTAACAATCAAGTAGTATAATTATTACAATATTCTTTAATAAAATTTAGGTAAACGTGGTTTATCTTTCTCAAAACATCTTCTTGTGTTGTATTCTTGTGATGACATGAGATAATACTTAAAACAAATACTTTGTGTCTTTTCTTTGTCCTAACCAAAATCACCAGCATCATTACATTTGCACTTGGTGTCATTATTCAGTAAAATAAAGGTTACTTGAACACAGAACTGAAATAGTTGGTGAGATAAGTGGATGTCTACCAAGTGACTAGTAGGCAGGCAGCATACACAGTGTGATGACGCTGGACAAAGGGATGAGTCACATTCCAGGCTGGGCCAGCACAAGATTCATCCTGCTGCTCAGAACAACAAACAATTTAAAACTTCTAAATTGTTTATTTCTCTAATTTTCCATATTATATTTTCGGACTATGGGATCCCCAACCATGGATAACGGGGGACAGCTATATGCAGTAGGGACGTATTTTGTTACCTATTATAAACTTAGCAAAAAAAAATGCTCTTTCTTATTTTTAAATGTCATAGTTATCAGGAATGTGAAGCCCACGAACATTTAAGTGTCTGTTTTTCTAAAGACCAAAGAATAGTTTTAATATAGATGTCAGCAAGTTTGAAAATCATCAGATAAACAAATGCAATGCCCATTTTCTTTTATTTATGCACAGAACAGCCATTTAGTTTCTCATAGCACATCTTTCTGATAAATTTGAGGGCAACTGACAGGTTTTGGTACTCTCTGGGGATGATTTGTGTTTCAAAAAGGTGATACCTACTGAGGAGATTTGCATTAAGAAATTAATTCATTTTTGGTAGAATTTCTAGCCAGATTTTCCTGAAGCACAGAAGCCATAGCGACTGATGCAAGGATATTTTCGTGTATGGCGAGGAGGCTGATTGTTGCATAACCTTTATACTTTGCTGAAGAGCAACCTCACCTCATCTCTCTCATCTCAGATCCCTGGCAGGCACTGGGATATGTTTTTCTGTGTGACTTGGCCATATGAACCCTCTTCCCTATTTCAATCAAGTTGGTCTATTATGACCATAGATCACAATCAGTGACTTTCAGTGGCCCATTATAAACCTCACCTGTGACGTGATTTGGGGCTGTTTCTAGAGTGGATCCCATAAGAAAATATTTGTTAGGTACTCTGGCAACTTCTGTCAGGCTTGAGCTCCCTGTCCTTGGCTGTGATATTGCTACTATAGGCCAAGGCAGCATGGATTGGAAGAGGTGTAAATCTGACAGCCAGAAGTCAAGAGAAGAAAGGAAATGAGCATCCATAATAGGTTTGTTTTGAGGGAAGACAGGAATAGTCATAATGAGTCCCCAAAAGGACATTTACTTAGAAGCAGATTTGAAACCTGGCATGCAAGGAGAGTTCTAGACTTAAATATAACTTCATTGCATTATCCAAGTGTGGATTTATGAGTTAGTTTTGAGAGTTAAATGAAAAGCTTTTCATAAAACAGTGGTTAGAATATAGAATCATTAGTTTTATCTATGCATTCCATTGAATTATTTAGTTTGCATGCTGTGGTTCGGCAGCATTCTCATACATAAATACAGAATAAATGTCCATCTAAGTACATTAAGAGGGCATTATCGATGCTTTAACATAGAAATTTGCATGTTTTGCTAATATCCAAAACCTTGCTTTTCCAACTTTTGATTATGGGGGGAGTTCTGCTTAAGGTAAAATTGCATCTGTGAGGTTAAAGATATTTCAAAATATATGATGCTGCTCAGTGATGTGAAAAGATTTGGTTTAGGGCTGACAAGAAACAAGGCTGAATTATTTTTTTTTAGAAAGAAATCAAGCAGTGAAAAAATGCAAGATAACTTTTCTGAGTGGTTTCCACTAAGTGTATTGGTCAACCCAATTCTTGAATGTTCTTTGGAATGGAGAGAAAGGTTGGTCATGCTCTGTAAATGGGAACCTAGCAGAGAAAAGAGTTGGACTCAGAACTGTGAACACCAACCAGCTCTTGGTGGGCAGCCAGTAACCTTCTTGTTGGAAATGCCCACATCTTTCCCAAACCATTTGGCTCACCTCCTGACGTAATTGCATCTGAAAGAGAAATATTTAAATGGGCTGGAGTAAGGGTAATGGAAGGATTTCAATTACCAAAGCGCGCACTGGATTACTTTAAGTGGCATAAATCGGCCTTAAGGCAGACTCTCAGATCAACCCCAGCATAGCTTTCCAATGCAATATGCATCTGCCCTCTCTGAAGGTAACTCTATGTGCTCTTAGGTAATGTAAAACAAAGGTTAGGAGTTGAGATGTAATTTGAGCAGAAATCTATTGGGAAACACGAATCATAGTTTTAAATGTGGAATAAGGCCAAAATGGTTGAGCATGCTAAAATAATGGTTAAGGGGCTCTAGCTAAGTTTGAAATGATATAAATGATTTTAAAAATTCATGAAAATGTATACTGAGAATTATTTGGAGGCACCAATAAAAAGCAGTTGCAAAGTTTGAGAGCAAAATGTAGTATCTTGTCTATCTAGCCGATAAAATCAGTAACATTGCATTTAAAAAGTTAGCAAAATATAATAGTAATTGTAATAGAATAGTAAATGCAGAGATGCATGTTTTGCTTTCTCGCTCTCCCATCAGTGGCCATGTGAGAGCAAAGCCTACTTATTTGAGTGCTGAGGGATTTAGCTGGATCTATTTCCAGTCACAGAGAGAGCAGGAGCTGCGTGGGTTGAACTATGCTGGGCTCTTTCCTATGACTTATTGTTCTCTCCTTTGCATCTTGCTTTTCTGCTTTCTTCTCATGTGGATACTCACCTCTTAAGAGGTGTTTCACCCTTTTTCCAGCCAAAGCCCTACCTCTGTTCCCACCATTATGAAACTCATTTTGACCACCTGCTGAGGTTCCTGACTAGACAGGATCCCAAATTCTCCTATTTCCTCCTGCAAGTAGCCTTATGTTCTGCTTTCTAAGCTCCTTGGCTACTTGGTCAAGTCAGGGAGGAATACGTATGCATTTTATATATGTTTTTTTGGAGAAGAAGCTGGTGGGATAAGACCACTTCCAAACAGCCTATACCTGGAAAAGAACAATGAAAAAAATATGATCATGGTCCCCAAATAGGTGTCTGTATTGATGGTAAAACAGACCAGAAAGGGAACCTAATGAATCTTGAAATGAAATATAGCTGGCACTTACCAATCACTTTCTGTTCTGTCAGACCTTGAATCCACTCCCTTTTCCTCTGTGACTGGATGAGACGTCATTAGACATGGATTGAAATGCCTTTCCCCATGCCTGCTTCATCAGCCTGACATCAAAGCCAGGCCACTGTGCTCCAGAGCCACATCTTAACCTTTACCCTCTTCCCTCTGAAAAAGGAGGTTTCATAAAGCAGTTGGGAAAGTAATTATTAACTAATATGTATTTTGGATATAATTAACCTTATGTTATTTTATACCACAGACCAAATGGAACCAGGAAAAGTGTTACATATTTTTAAGCAATGGAAAAACACTAGAAACCACAACACAGAGTTCATTTCAGCTCTGTAGGAATGATAATTTTCTAGTTGCTGAGCAATAGGAAATATTATAGAAAGTCACATATTTGCCTCCAATGGATTGACATTGTTACACTGCTGACTTTTATAGTTGAACACCATTAAGAACAATTTTTAAAAACTTTAAAAACCAGTAACACAAGAAAATATTTGTAATAAGTATGAACAGCAGAATTCATACCTCCAATGTATAACTTTAATATCTATAAAAAACACCAAGATCCCGAATAGCTAAATTGGCAAAGGAGATTCACATAAGAGGAAATACAAATAACACACTCATACCAGTTAAGCCACATATAGAATGTGACGTATATTTTAAGTTAACTTTTAAAGGGATATAGAAAAATTAATTTTTCCTCAAAGACCAGTTAGACCAAAGAAGAGATTTCAAGTAATTTAAAATGAGCAATGGTGAGCAGTGAGGTTACTGGAGGAAGGGGAGTCAGGGGCCTTGGAAAGCAGCAGAAGACAATGCTGAACAAGGTGCCCACATCTGTTCATTGGAATGCCAGACTTGGAACTTAGAAGATGGCTCAGAAAGTAGGATCAGATGGTTTATTGCAATGGATTTGAAACTTTAGGTACATATAAAAATCACTTGAGAGCTTATTAACATAGATTGCTGTGTAGATTTGAACTGAAGCCCATTGACCACCTTTCTAAGAGGTTTTCAAGTGATGCTGATGCTTCCTATCTGGATCCCGCCCTTGAGAACAACTGGTTCGTGGGATCGTCTGCAGATTCAACAGCTGAAAGCAAGAGATACACAATCATTCAAGGTTAAGGGGCTCTAGCTAAGTTTGAAATGATATAAATGATTTAAAAAATTCATGAAAATGTATACTGAGAATTATTTGGAGGAGAAAAGGAGGGTAAAGGAAGAAAAGAGAGGAAGGGATGGAGGGAGACGGAGAGGAACAACAGGGAGTTAAGGAAGCTACAAAAAACCAAAAGGGATATTTTTCTTCTCATTAGAGAACATGTAGCCAGGGAAGCTGAGAGACACTAGAGATATTATGGAATAAGGCAGACTGGTATTACCCTAAATTTATGGTCATCATTCTCTCACCCTGCCCTTGCCCTCTTTCCTTCCCTTCACTGTCAATCATTCTGAATGACTAATAGTCTACTCCAGCTTGCCTTCTCCCTCTGCATTCACCTCTAACTAGTTTACAGTCCTTAACTCACCAAAGTCTATATCCTCCCTTCATGGCCCCCTGGAATGATTTCCTTAAAAAAACAAATCTATTGATTTGTTCCCAGTCCTGTATCTTTGACACATCAGGTGTGTTTAATTGTTCTGTTCTGTCCTCACTTGGTTTTCATGACACACATTGACCTGGTTATTTTTCCAAATAGGGATTCTGAACTGCATTTCCAGCTTTCTTTTCTTTTTTTTTTTTTTGCAATAGGTAAAGAACTTGGCTATAGTAAGTGGAATGGAGTGACTGATTTTAATTACCAAGGGACAAATAAAGCCATTTCTATATGATAGATACAAAAATGAGTGTATTTGGAACCCAGGGTATTCTCAGAGGCACTTCTTAGCACTGTAAGGGTCAAAGTTAATGGGAGGAGAAGCAGTCCAATACAAGCTGGAGCACTAATTGTTCAGACTTTTGGGGAAAGAAGGTATAGATCATCCTGCTAAGTAAAGCCCTAATCAACCAAGCAGAGCCAAGGTGCTGAGGTCAAAGGGAACCTGAAATAAATTGCCAAAGAGGCAACTGCATGACTTTGCAACAAATTGCAGAAACGAGGTCTGGAGGTGCCCTGCCTGGGCTCTTCTGCGCTTTATCAAGTGCACATCTGCCTGGATTTGCTCATTCCTCCCACCACCCCAAACCCACTATGTTTTAGAGGAGGTGCTGGTGGTGGAACTTGCAACTTTTCTCTCGGTTACAAGAAGTCGGAGGCACATGTGACTAGACTAGAAAAAACAAAAGAATATCTCCCAGAAATGGAGTTAATAACAGGTGATATTCTTTTCCTCCTCTTCATGGGCATTGTTTTAGTCATCTTTTGCATCACTGTGACCAAAATATTCAACAAGAATAAAAAAGAGGAGGAAAAATTTATTTGGGAACCATAGTTTCAGAGGACTCAGTCCATGGACCGCAGACTCCATTATTCTGGGCCCAAAGGAAGCAGCACATATAGGGGAAGGGCCCAGCAGAGGAAAGCTGCTCCCTTCTTAGCAGTAAGAAAACATAGATAAAGAGGGCCAGGAAAGGGCCAAGGGAAGATGCACCCTTCCAGAACTTGGCCCCAGTGACCCACACCCCAGTCGCCTACCATTATCACTCAGTGCATTCAAACTAGGATGAACTGATTAGATTACAGCTCTCACAAACCAATAATTTCACCTTAGAATATTCCTACGTTAACAGGAGCTTTGGAGGGACACTTCATTTCCAAACCAAAACAGGAATAAACTTTAACATCTTTTCTAAGATAGATTGACTAATCTATCCAAAGTAGATCCCTACCTGTAACTACCTATTTCCGCTACTTGTTTTCATCTTTCCTGAGACTTGTCAAAATTTTTGATGATTTTTTTTTCTTTGATTGCTTTTTTTTTCTGCCTATCCCACCAAAAGGGAAGCTTCAGGAGTGGTATCTGTGTCAAATGCACTTATTCACATCTAGCTCAGTGCCTGACACATGGAAGGAGGTCACAGGTACTTGTGGATTAAATGAATAAATTGACGGTTGAGAGAGTGGTGGCAAGTGTGGTAGTTGAGAAGGGCTTCAGGTTCCCTCAGTTCTCTATGCAGTGGACTCTTAAACCTGAATATCTTGTCTTTTAGAGTAAAGCTTTAAGAATAAATTTTTCTAAGGTTCTCCAAAATTTGTTTGTCATAGGTTGTTCCGAGAAGACAGTACCACCAATATTTATTATATAATACATATTTACTGAGTATCTGGATTGTGCCACGAATCGGGGACATTTCAGTAAGCAAGTTGACAATGCCTTTGAACTTAATGATGCTGAAATTCTAGTGTAAAAGATGTAGGCAATAAGCTGGTCAACCAGGAAATAAATAGACAACTGTAGCTGGTAAAAAAAAATGTCCTAAAAACATTAAAATAAATTGGGGTAGCAAACAGTACCTGAAAAGGTGCTTCTTTGTGTTGGGGAAGTCAGAAAGTTTCTCTGAGGAGGTGATAATTAAACTTAGATATGAATTTTAAAAAAGAAATAATCAATGTGAAGACTTGAAGACAAAATCTTTCAGCAACAAGGATGGTGAAGGGTAATAAGTGAAGTGGACAGAAAGATGTTACCTCAAGAGATAGGACTAGGTCACATGGAGTTTGGAGGCTATGGAAATACATTTGGGTATTAAACTTAATGTGATGGAAATTCATTAGGGAAATTTAAATACTAAGTGATGTGGTCTAGTTTCCTTTTTAAAGTAATCATTCTTTTTAAAGATATTAAGAATGGCTGGTTTGCACATGCATTTTTATCCTCTTATCAGGGATAATGTTTAATAATTTTCCATAAATGAAAAATTCAACAACATTTAAGAACAATAAGAAAAGATGAAGAAACAGCAGAAGCTGAATTACCACATAGTTTTGGAAAATGAAAACTGGTGGATAGAGGAATGATACCAATTCAAATAGTAGCTGGTACCTAGCTTGAAGGCATAAGGAGCCATGCAGAGTAGGTTGGGACAAGGGTCTGAAAACAGAGGGGTTGAACAATTAAAGTTTGTATAAGAAACTGTTAAGTTTCCAGACATCCTGCTCAGTTATGCAGGAAGATGATGTCCTTTAAGGTAAGAAAAGGAGCGTATGTTCTATGCAGACTCTGGCATTGAATGGCTAATGAAATAGTGCACAGGTCAGAGTTAAGAGTGGACATGTGCAATTAGACAAAGGGGAACAAAGGGAAGGAAGGGGAGATGGGAATAGGAACTATATTAGAATATATCAGACATAACTTTCCTATGTTCATATATGAATACATGCCCAGCGTAACTCCATGTCATGTTCAACCACAAGAATAAGCTCCTAATTAGAATAAGTTATATCTCGTGTGTGTGTGTGTGTACATATATCTACACACACACACACACACACACACACACACTATCTCTCTCTCTCTCTACTGTCATATGTACCTAAAAAGAATAAATTTAAAAAAAGAGAATGAGTATATGCAGTTGAAGATGAAAACAAAGGTTGTAATGAAAACCTTGCACACTGAGTAGGAGACTTCTCAGACTACATGCCTGTTGCATGCATTTTGGGTTATACTCTACACTGAGGGGAAATTCTCCTCAGAAGAAATTGATAGGCCAGCCCCAAAGAAGGTGTTTTCACATAACTTTCTGGCTGTCTAGCATACCGTGAAGCCCACCACATGACCAGTCCTCAGAGTGAATTAGATCTAGCATTGTTGAATATGAACAGGTAGACAAGAACAATCAGACATTTTAGGAAAACCTCCACTAAAAAAAAAAAAAGATAGCTCAGAGCCAACAGAAAATATATCCTGGAAGAAGCAGAGATAAATTAAAGAACACCATAATAATTAAAAAAAATTTTTACTGTCATTAGAAAGGTAAGACAATATCTAATACAGGATAAGGAAACTATATGAAAGGAACAATTGAAGAAAGAAAATATTGGTGAAATGAAAAGCATAAGAAAAGTAATGAAAAATAAACTTGAAAATTTCCAGGAAGTAGAACAAAAAGAAAATAATGGGAAAAGAAGAAAAAAAGAGAAGACTTGAGGAATCGGGGTATTGAATATCTAACTCAGAAGATTCCAGA